TAATAATAATAATAATAATGATAATAATAATAATAAATGACATTTATATAGAGCTTAACCCCAATTAAAGTACACAGGCTCAGAGCACTTTACAATACAGAACAACAATAACATGGAACATTGTGTTCTGACCAAAAGATAATCTCTCTAAATATTCATTTTATCAATTTAAAGACAGAAATGACTTCAGCTGACATTTGAATGCATCAAAGGATTTTATCTCTCTTAAACTGCTTGGCAAAACATTCCAGATCTTGGAGCCTTGATATTCAAATAACAGAATAAATTATTTACATTCTAAAATTAAATCTTTCAACAACAAAATGGGATTTTAAAAAGTCGAAGGAGTTGTGAAGTATCTCAAAAACTTTAAATGGTATAGGCCCGAAATTTTCAGTCCTTTGAAACATATTCATGATTTTGTAGGCTTTGCAAGATTTCTTGTCTTTGTATGCAGGAATTCAGCCTCCACAGTCACTTCTTGATGGCACAGCAGTAGTCAGTTTCTGGTATTCTTCACAGCTCCGAATTTACAGCTCTTGCAAGGTCCTGAATGAGTTCAAACTTTCACCCTGCAAACCTATCTTTTGGAAAAAGATATGACCAGAAGTCACAACAGGGTGATAAGTCCGGACTCTCGGCTGGATGAGGCAAAAACTTGGATTTATTGTCCTTGTATACCCAAAGTTGTGGCATTTGATTTGTGTGGAGCTGTATTGCCATGAAGGAGCATTGTGCAATAGAATAGATCTTTGGTCTCTGTTCCTCAAGGGCATTTTTTCAACTGGGGCAGTACTTTTTGCACATAGTAAGAAGAAGTCACAGTAGTATAATTTGGCATTTCAAACATAAGGAGACCAATATTATTGAAAAGACTCTTTTAACTTTGAAAATTGAACACAAAACAGGCCTGCTTCCTTTTTCATCTATCCATATGCAATTCACCTGTTTTAATGAAATTCCCAAAAAGAGTGTGCATGTTCCATCTCCCAAGACAATATCTTTATTTTACTAGGGCCGAAGGGGTTCAAACATGCTGAGAATTTCTGTGGCATGAATCACCCTGTGACAAATGGTGTATCCAACAGGCACACATTTTTTTCACATGGCATTCTCCCTGAATAAGATTTTGCACCAACCCAAACAAAATTCCAGACATTTCAGTTAATACCCTAGATGTTAGACGGCAACTTCCATTACTTGCTAATCCACCCTTGTCATAAAAAGAGGATCACATCCATGAAGACAAATACCTGCAGAAATCTAAAAAGGTGTACTTTTGGTGATGGTGCTGAATTGAGTATGTACCATTACATTCAGGTAACAAATGAAAACATTTCACCACAAAAAGGTTAAAAGTAAAACAAAGCTTTTGAAACAAATTATCTGCTCCATTCAAAGTGAATCAAGCCTATTTTTTTTTAAATATTCAAATTTCAAGAAACATATGAGATAATACAAAAAGCAGTACTGTACCTTTGACAAACTCTGGAAAGTCGATGAAATCTGTGCAGCACACGTACAGGTTGTAGCCTGACAGTTTGAGACGCTGTGAGAAAAAAAAATTGAGAAAACATGAACAGTTTCATCACAGACGTAATGTGGACTTCATAAAAAGGAAGTAACACATAGCTAAGCACAAAGAAAGAAAACTTGCAAGATGGAGGAAAACCTACAAGCTGCATGTTTCAACTATTAAGTACTACAATTAGACCATCATCAGAGAATCAGGGTGGTAGCAAAAGGGAAAGTAGATCTTAATTCTCTCCGATTTCGACTGCCCAGCCTTGATATCACATCTACATTTCGTCACAGCTGCTTTGTGTGCAAGAAACTGACCCTCAGACAGGGAAAAAGACTAGATGAATATTACTACCACTACCACCAATAAATGAACAATGGCCTCATCAAATTGAGTTTGCTAGCTTTGGAGAGAAAGAGTAATTTTCCCAGGTCCTTATTCAGTCAACTTCCAGATTTCCTAAAATTTCTGGGGCACTCCCGAGTCTCTGCAACTTACTCAGATTCCCATTGTCACTCCCAGGTCACCTGGATAATCAGGGTGTGGCAGTGACCTAAGCAATCCAATATTCATCACACACTTGCTCCTATCCATATAATGATAACTTTCAAGAGAAGAATGTCTTCACGTGGCAGTTTCCAGAATGTATCATTTGTACTTACTCTGTTGGGAACTTGCAGCTTCCCATAGAACCCCATGTCCCACTTCATTTTCTGCCATGTAGATAAGTCATTTGTGCTCCAGCTGGCATTGAAGCTCACTGAGTGCTGATATCTTGGATGCTGGGAGAGAGAAAACAGAAGATTGGAATGAAATAAGACAGTTTCAAATGGAAACACATGACATATACCTGTATTATACATATGTGAGGCATCGAAGTGAAATCAGGCGCTCGTCAAAATAATTAAATCAAAGATTTTGGCATTTTGCCTCCAGTTTGAAGATATTTTTCAAATTTTTTGTTTTTTGAATTAACACTTTTTATGTCCATTTAAAAACATTTCGGTGTAGATTTTACTGAAAAACATTAATTAAAGACGCAACAAATGTAAATTTTTAATTTTCGAGGACTGTCAAACTTTGGAAATTATCAAACTTAGGCGGACATTTTCTCACAAATTTTACCTCTGAAACCAGGCGACCGCGACCTCTTTCAATCGCAAATATCTAAACTTCTATTAAAAATAAGTGTGTATTTTTTTCCATCAAAAGATGGTCAAATGAATAAGCTTTCAGATGATACCAATAACTTCAGATGCCCAAAAATTGATGAGCGCCTGATTCTACCGTGTCATGACACATGTGTAGTATATATACGAAGAGTATAAGTACATAAATTCAGCCTTTTAGTACTTTTGATTGGAAAACAACTAAAAATGCAAGTATTGAAGTTTTATAAAAAAGACATCTGCATCGTTTCCACTTTAAGACTCATGCTAAATGTTACCAAAATTTTTTTTTAAATAAACAAAGTACTTTTACATGAAGGCTGAGAGCGGGTCTTAATAAAGCTTCAGAGTGTAAGTTAACATAAATCTTCATTCCCCCATGCACAAATACATAGAAAGGAACAACAGACATCCTCATTTTCCAGAAATCATTGTTAAGTTACGAAGAGTATAACAAATTCAATCATAATAAATTATCATTGATGAAAGGGAAGCCATCTGCTTAAACTATAAGAAACAAAGTTTTAGCAGTAAAAAGATAAGTATGCGTGACATTATTTTATGCAGGCCTACATGATACAAACAGAACCAAATGTCCTGAAACTGCAAAAGGAAAGACAATCATAACCACCTGCAGTTGTGGAGGAGTGGAGAACATCAAGGCTACTGGCCTGGCACACCTCATGCATCTGACTTGACTCTGTGACTGAACAACATTCAGCAGCTGAGCCTAGGGACAACAAAATCAAAAATAAGAATAAAGCATATATTATATGAATATGGCTTGTGAACCAACTTTAAAACGGGGGAAGGACTTCCGTAACGAGCGACCACCCCATCAAACACAATAAAGAAGAGGCCTAACCCTAACCCTAACCCAAACCCTAACCCAAACCCTGAATGTCATTGTCATGATGATAATGATGAATGATGCATGCAGACTGCTCATTGTGCCACTGTGCCTCTTTAACTTTTGTTGTGTAAGAAGTTTCAATAAGAGAAGTGAGAGCGAGAGTTGATTTAGAACGTTTGTAAGCTAGAGTAGAATCTAGTGAGGGAGGACTTCCGTAACGAACGAGACACTACAACTCACCAAATTTCGACAGGCTTTTATTCCTGTTCCTCTAAGAAAATTCATCCTCAAGCGTTCCAGGTTCACTCAAAATAACGATACCCTTCACTTCACTTGACTTAGCTCTCTGTAACATGCACACCTTGTTTGTCCTTGTAAGCCTTGTTACTAAACATCAACAAATGTACTCTTTAGTCTTAGAAGCCAACAAAACTACTCTCTCAGATAACAACTTTTTACGCACAAGAACTCTGGGGGAAATATTTATTTCGACGTTAAAGATAATAATCACCAATTACATTGTAATTATTTTTAAATTGTAATTCATTGAGAAGAACAAACTTATGCAAGAGTAATACCAGACCCTCTTGGTAATACGAGAGATGCTAAGAAATAGATAGACGCCAAGCCTGTTAGGACACTTATTAATAATTATGAAAAACACCAAATTCAACTTCAGAACGTTTGTAAGCTAATCACTAATGTAGAGCAACTTCTAAAAGCTGCTGATCCCCTAATAATCTGCTCCTCCTGCTCCTGCTCCTACTGAAATAACAACAACTACTACTACTACTACTTCTACTACTACTTCTACTACTACTACTACTACTACTGCTGCTGCTG